CTTCTGGCTCATTGCTTTTCCCAACACACACTTCGAAACGGCTCTCACTTCTGCAGGATCCAGTCATTTCTGTGCATTGTCACTTCTGCAATATAACTGTAATAAATAGCATTGGGGAAAGCTGTCCCTCTATTCTTACCAGAGGAGTTGTAGCTTGCACATCCATATACAGAGGTCGCAGCATTGACTCCGCCTGTGGGGCAGTGGCTGTATCTGAGGGAACGGCCGACTGAAGAGAATGGTCTACAACTGACAAAAAAAAAAAAAAAAAAGGTATGAAGTGGCCAAGCGTGAGAAAACCTATGGACACAGGGTATCCAAGACAGAAGGTGAAAGCTGGATGGAGGTGAGATGAGCTGAAAGGATGCTGGGGTTGAAGCTCAATGGAAAAGAAAACAAAACATCACAGAACTTAAACTGTAAAAGGAAGCGAGACAGACCATGATCTTGGAGGGGGATGTTGGGACAATATTCGAATTGCTTCGTTGGGAGCTGGGAGGGATCCGAAAGGGCAAAGCCATTTACAAGGACTGAGGAGACAGAGTAGGTAAGATCTCCCTCAAAGATTACTAGCTGGACGACTAGCATCTCTTAAAGTTGGCCAGGAGAGGTCTGAAGGCCGACCGAGCTTCCAAGGATCCGAGGGCCTGTGGGGCAGGATCTGAAGGGCGACGCGGCGAAGTCAATGGGTCTGAGGGCAAGCCTGAGGAAGTTTGAGGGGTGCAGCCAGAAGGCAGGGTCAGGGGGTCTGGGTAATGGGCGGAAGAGGGAGGCTCCGTTAATACTCAGGTGCGTCGCCACGCCAAGGGGGAAGGTCCGCGCCTGCAGGGACGGTGGCGGCGAGCAGGGCCCGGAGCGTACCGCGCAGGCGCAGCCCCCGAGTGGGAGCATCGGACTTGGGCCCCGGAGCAATCCGCACAGCCGCGGCCACCCGCCTCCAAGCGGTTCGCAGCAGCATGGTCCCGCAGGCAAAGCCCCCCGCCCGAAGCGGCGGCAGTCCTCAGCTACGCGCTCACGGAAGTTCTGCTCCGTGCCCCGGAAACAATTCCTCCCGCCGCGGACGCGCTCCGCCTCGCGTTCCGTGTGAGACGTAGAGCTGAGCGACCGAAGCCGCGAACGAGGTGAGGTGGGGGGCGCCCCGGCGCGGGGACCCGAACGCTAAGAGGGTGATGGAGTCGGGCTACGCGCTTATTTTCCTCTCTGGACTTCCCCGAACCCTTGGATCCGCTCCCCACCCCTCCTCCTCCGGCCCCAGCCCAACTCGGGCAGGCGGCTAGGCCCACACTCCCCTAACCTTCGAACCCCGCAGATGCCGGTGGCCGTGGGGCCCTACGGACAGTCCCAGCCGAGCTGCTTCGATCGCGTGAAGATGGGCTTTGTGATGGGCTGCGCAGTGGGCATGGCGGCCGGGGCGCTCTTCGGCACCTTTTCCTGTCTCAGGTGAGGGGCGCGGGCGGTGATCTCTGGGCGGGACTTACCGGACATTCCCGTCCCGCGCCACTTGGCCGGTAGCCTGGATAGAGCCTACTTCAATTCCCTCGCTGTCGTTTAAGGAGCGAGACTGATTTCCTACTCACCTTGCCTCGGCGCTTGAGAATACGAGTTCTGACTCAAACAATGTCAGAAAATTTGACTCCTGTAACCTTAAGCACGTTAGAGTCTGGGTTTCCTTAAGTGTAGAAAGAGGTAACATCTACCTCATAGAGTTGTAAGGATCAAATCAGAGCAAACTGAGACAGAATGTGGCATTAAGTGCTCAATAAATGGTTGTTGCTGCTGTCGCTGCTGTTTTTTCCAAGTTGCGCATAGTGAAACAAAGTTGAGCAATTTTACTGTACTGCAAACAAGGTATAGATACGGAGCAGATAAACTCTACACCTACATCCTAAATGTCATTTTCACATGTAGTAGATTATTATTCCCATTTTTCCACAATGTAAGTTACCATTTACTGAGCACTTACCCAGTGTGAATCACTGTTCCAAATGCTCCATGTGTTCTGTGGTTATGATCCCCATTTTAGTTAGCACAACCTGTAAATTGTAGAGCTGGGGCACGAACACAGATCTGACTCCACAATCATTGCTTTACCACCAGGAAACCATCAGAAAGACAAATTGGAGCCTGTGGGGGTGTGTGTATGTATATATATCCTGGAGGTAAAAGCAAAACAAAAAACTAGTTTCTCTATATACTTTGCATCAGTTGCCTCCCACAAACTGAAGGCACGTCATAGGATATTCATCAGAATACCCCTAGAGACCCTGATGCATCTTTTTTCTAGTTATTACCTGCCTCGGGTGGGAATAGATGTCTTGCCCAACTTCAAGAGTGCTTGATTTACTTTGAAAACAAATTGGAAAAGGGCAGTTAATGCTTTTTGTATTTTTATTCCCAGTTGGCTCCATATTTTCTTCCTCTCTTAGGATCGGAATGCGGGGTCGGGAGCTGATGGGCGGCATCGGGAAAACCATGATGCAGAGTGGCGGCACATTTGGCACATTCATGGCCATCGGGATGGGCATCCGATGCTAGTAAGGGCAGTGGTTGCCCAGTACAGCTGCTCCTTCCCATCAGTCCCAGCTCATGTACTATAATAAAACAAGTCTTTGAGTAGTTGGGAGTGTTAAAGACATTTTTTCTTCTTTCTGCCTATGCCCCGCTTAGAGAAAGCTGCTGAGATGGGCCAATGAGTAGGTCTGGGGTCTGTTTCTTAAATCCAGTCTCTGTTAATCCAAAGTTAGAAAAATTTTCCATGCCTGGAACTTTGTGTAGATTCTAATAAATTGTTATTCAGCCCCATAAGGTTGATGCTGTTCTCACCATTTTAAAGGTGAAGAACTAAGTCTAGATTTCCTCAAAGTTGCACTGCAAAAGGTAGTGTTAACCCAAGTCTCATTTCCAAAGATATGTTCATCGACCTTCAGGTTTTGTGCAAACTGAAGCAGAAAAAGAACCATCCACTGGACAACAAACTGACACAATATAGCTTAATGGCATAAACCTCCCAATTTTCTAACCAGCCATCCATGAGGATGTCAGTTGTATAAAATGACCCACCCCCCCATATACACTCAATTCTGTTAATTGGGTTCCTAAGGTAGGTTCCTTGTAATAAGGACAAGTGCCTCTCCCCTACTCTGGCCACACAGCCCTTGACATATTGTGCTTTAAACTGCATTGCCCCTCAAGGAAAATGGTAATGTTATGACAGACATAAACTACACTGGCATATTTGGGGGGTCATGAGGACACTACCAGAATAGCTACAACAGCTAGATTTCCCAGAGTGGGATGTTCTCTCAGGAATGGATTACCTGTTAAGATTCACTGAGAATTCATTTAATTATTTTGTGTCACGCTATTCAAGTTACTTTTTTTTTTTAAGATTTTATTTATTTGAGAGAATGAGAGAGAACACATGAGAGGAAGGAGGGTCAGAGGGAGAAGCAGACTCCCTGCTGAGCAGGGAGCCTGATGCGGGACTCGATCCCGGGACTCCAGGATCATGACCTGAGCCGAAGGCAGTCACTTAACCAACTGAGCCACCCAGGCGCCCTCAAGTTACTTTTTTACATTTGCTTTAATATCATTTACAACCCAAATTTCATTGTGGCAGTGGGGAAATTTTTCTTTTGCCACCTCTTTTTAACATCCATCTGTGCTGGCCCAGCTCCCTGGAAAATGACAGAACAAAGATAAGACGTTTATCGAGAATAAAAAATTTAGGAGTGCCTGGGTGGCTCAGTTGGTTGAGTGAGTGCCTTCGGCTCAGGTCATGATCCTGGAATTCCAGGATCGAGTCCCACATCGGGCTCCCTGCTCAGCAGGGAGTCTGCTTCTCCCCCTGACTTTCCCCCCCTCTCATGTGCTAATAATCTTTAAAACAGTAAAATTTAGGGGCGCCTGGGTGGCTCATTCGTTGAGCGTCGCCTTTGGCTCAGGTCATGATCCCAGGGTTCTGGGATCGAGCCCCGCATCAGGCTCCCCGCTCTGCGGGAAGCCCGCTTCTCCCTCGCCCACTCCGCCTCCTGCTTGTGTTCCTGCTCTCGGTGTCTCTGTCAAATAAAATCCTTAAAAAGAAAAATAAAAATAAATTTAATTACAAAGATACTATGAGGTATTCTAGCAAGAAAAAATGCTGACGTAAGTCTGCCCCAAACAACACTGCTGCCTATTGTTGAAAAATAAACTCGAGGGCACCTGGGTGGCTCAGATGGTTAAGAGTCTGCCTTCAGCTCAGGTCATGATCCCAGAGTCCTGGGATCGAGTCCCGCATCGGGCTCCCTGCTCCTTGGGAGCCTGCTTCTCCCTCTGCCTGTCTCATGAATAAATAAATAAAAATCTTTAAAAAAATAAAATCATGCCTCCAAATTCAACCGATTAAATATCTTGACATATGAATAAACCTGTAAAATTTGTGCCTTAACACTAAGAAATAGAGTAGAAAGAAAGAGGTGAGGAAGTCAATACTGAAAGTTAACCATTCCAGTAGGAGCAACATTGCCTACTCAAAAGGCTCAAGGTAGATACACAGACTTGGAAGCAGAGTTCAGAATATAAATGACTCATTGCCCAAATGCAATTAAAGCTCAAATTTCTTAGTAACAAATGCAGCTAAATCAATTTGGGAAATCAGTTAAATGCCTGAACTTTAACCATTTTGTCTGGTATTTAAATAAACATTTTTTCAGAGATGCCCTTAAAAAACAAAAACAAAAACCCAGGTTTAAGGCCTGGGTGGATTTGTTTGGTTTTCTTGTTAGAAAATCCCTAAGATTTTGATACATTACCCTAATAATAATAAGTACAGTGCTAAGATACAGTGAAATGGAGGAATATACAGAGACAACTTGAGGGCAATAATCTTCCCAGACTCTGCACACTTAAAAATTTTCCCCAAGAAGCAAGTCTTGAATAACTACTAAAGTCAAAGAAACTAATATTCTACTTTCAAGTTTCTATGACTTTAAAACATTTCAAAAATGAAGATTTCCTGTGGCCTTTTTAAGAGAATTTTATTTGAGTGGTTCTTACAAAGGTTGTTGCAATATGAAAGTCATTTGTTTGATAGAAATATCAAGCTGTCTTGTCAAACACACTGAAGTAACCCAAAAATATATTTCAGAGCTCACAGAGCTTAAAAAGAGCAAAGATTATATGCAACCAGACAAAACCTATTTCTGCATTTCCTATTTCTTGCTCAGACGGCTTTGCTTACCAGACTGTCACTAAACATCTTGAGGAAATGCAGGCATCATTTTGTTTGGAATCTTAGACACACCAGAACACATAATATTTACAAAGAAACTTTTACAGATACATTAATTGAAAAGATACTATCCAGAAATGTAATCTTGAAAACTCTTCTTGCCAATTGATCACGATGCAAGATGAGATGTTAATCAAACAGCCCTTTAGCTGTCTTCAATTTCCATACACTAAATGTGTACTCCAGAATCTGCTAAACCATTAGCCAAGTATCAACATTAGTGAAACGTGAAATGTAACTGCTGTGTAAAAAGTTAGGCTTCTGAAACATTAAAAACATAATTACATCCCTGTCTGCCTTTTTACATTAAGCACATTTGTTCCCCCCTAGAGCTATTCCTATAGATCCTTAATGTAAATTTCTACATGTACATTTAAAAGGCAGAACAAGAGAACAGCTTTGTATACAGTGGGATTTGCTAGTTAGGGATAATGAGCACACTGCATTCCTGTTAACAGTTTTATTTTTTCAAGGTAACAGGAATTGTATACAAATGACAGTAGACCCTTGCCTCTTTATTTTTATCTAAATAAAAGATAACTCAAGATGAATTCTCAAGAAAGAAAAAAGCTATGTACATAAGAGACTATATCTTCCTTCATCGTCTACTTGGAACCAGTAGTTGTGTTGCTGTCATAGAATCAGGGAAGAGGTTGTGGTAAGTTGGAAGAGGTACATATGCTGCTGTTATCATTTTACCTGTTGAAAGAAACAGATACGAGGGTTTAGCATTTTCACTTAAATTACATCTTTCATAATCATCACTCAGGAAAACAGATCAAACTCACCAGCAAACCACCTGCCATGCAATGCATTGACAGCAGCAATGGCTGCAGCAATTGATGGGCACTTCACATACACGTTGCCCTGAAATACAACGACAAAAAGATAAGGGCGGTATACAATTTTTACAAATTGCCTGTAAAAAAAACCTCAGACTCTATAACCAAATACTTGTTTCATTAGCTAACATGTACACCTAGAATTTTATTGAAATCATTTTATCCTCCCCAAACTTGTTGTATTCTTTTTTTTCTATGACTTGCAAGCAGATGAAGAATGAATCAAGATGCCAGATTTCATGCCAAACTTTCAACACTAACCAGCAACACTGCTACACAATGGCCTGGTCTAATCTTCATTTATTAGAGGACTGTCCTTATGTTGGAGGATATATAGTCAGTCACTATGTTAAAATTTCTTTCAGAATTAAAAAACAAAACTTCCTGGGACAGTGGTAATCTGCCCCAAGTATGTGTGAAGGCTGTCATAAAAGAGTAACAACCTCCTATCTTTATTAGTTATCACAACACCTGAAGTGAGGTACATAAAGGGCAGATTAAACTTTTCTGGCTTTAGGGAAAAAAAATAAAATACCTGAGCTGAATTTTTGTCAACATAAATATGAATAACTCCTCCATGTTTATTACATTCTTCAATCACATCATCCTTAATCTCTGTATCCCATCCAACTTCTTCTTCTCTGTACAAAAAAATATTAAGGTCTGTTAGACACCATTCAAACTTATATAATGTTACATACTCATCTGTATAAAAATATTTTAAATATGAATTCATTTTAAATATGAATTCATTTTAAATATGAATTCATTTAATTAATTTAAAACTTGTTGATGTTAATAATGTAGTGCACTGGAGAAAATCAAAAACAAGATAAGGCACTGTTTCGAACAATGCTTATGAATTTCTTTTTTTAAAAGACTATTTGAGAGAAAGAGCTGGCGTGTGTGTGCACATGAGCAGGGGGAGAGGGAGACAGACTCCCCAGTGATTGTGGAGTCCACCACGCCCGGCTTGATTTCAGGAACCTGAGATCATGACCTGAGGCAAAGTCAGACAATTATCAACTGACCTACCCAGGCATCCCAGCTTATGAATTTCTTAACTCTAAATTAACATTTAAAGTACTTATTGACATATATCAAATTTCATATACCAGCAGTTTATCATTTCCCAGATAAAGCTAAAATAAAGAATCTGGTGTTCTCTGGACACCTGGGTGGCTCAGTGGGTTAAGCATCTGCCTTCGGCTCAGGTCATGATCCCAGGATCCTGGGATGGAGTCCCACATCAGGCTCCTTGCTCACTGAGCCTGCTTCTCCCTCTGTCTGCCGCTCCCCCCTCTGTCTGCCGCTCCCCCTGCTTGTGCTCGCTCTGACAAAATCTTAAAAAAAAAAATTTTTTGGTGTTACCAAAAGAACACAAGAATCCAAGGCTCTCTTTCTATGGTAAACCATGAACTAATATAAACAATGCAAACAGCATGTAACACATTATTATATAAAACGTAAGTATGTTTTATATATATATAATGGTTCATTTATCCAGTCAACTGAACAGTATCTACATTTACCTCAGAATGTATTATAACAAAACAGAAGAGTTTGGACTGATAAATAAATGGCATTCTAATCATTGTGCCTAGGCATTAGGAAAGAGAAATTCCTAATTCCTGGCCTGCATTAATCTAAGAAGAATATTTAAAAAGATCTTCTCCTATAAAAGATTAAAATAGTATTAAAATTTCAAAGCCAAGAACTGGTAGCAGAGTAAACTGACAATAGAAATAAACACAAATACACATAAGAACAAACAAAACAAGCAGAAACAGACCCATAAACAGAGAACAAAATGGTGACTGCCAGAGGGGAGGAGGGTCTGGGTAAAATGGGTGAAGGGGAGTGGGAAGTATAGGCTTTCAGTTAAGGAAACAGTATGTCAACAACAATGAAAACAGGACAGGGAATATAGTCAATGTACTGTAATAGCCTTATATGGTGACAGATGGTAAGCTACACCTATAGTGAGCACAGCATAAGGTGTAGAGTTGAACAACTGTTATGAGCCTGAAACTAATGGAACATAAGGTATGTAAACTACAAGTGATAAAACACTGATACAAAACTTCTGAGAAAACTAATTGGTAAACAAAATCTGCGTACCTTTTACTTCATTTCCAATCTTACAAACATACCCAAAGGATTTAGCAATAAAAAAGTTATTAAAATACCCTAAAAGGATGAAAACTGTTGTTTACTATTTGAACTGTAAAATATACTGAAGCATCCAAAATGTTAACTTAGAAAAGCTGAATATTAATACTTTCACAGTACAGTTAACCACTGAACATGGGTTTCAACTGCACAAGTCCACCTATACAGTACAGCACTATAAATGTAGTTGTTCTAAGATTTTTTCTCTAACTTTATTGTAAGAATGCACTACAGAAGACATGTAACATACAAGAGACATGTTTATCAACTGTTATTGTAAGGCTTTAAGTCAACAGTAGGCCGTTAGCAGTTAAGTTTTAGGGTGAGTCAAAATTTACACACGGATTTTCAACTGTGCAGGCAGGAATCTGCACTGGTAATTCCACATTGTTCAAGTGTCACTGGTATACCCTTACTTACGTTTGAGGGTTAAACATGTTAGAAAGTTGGAAACACTGTGTTGCAAGAGGCTGAACAGAGGCAGCTGCAGCTAAAGCTGAAGCTAAAAAAAAAAAAAAAGAGAGAGAGAGAAATTAGTTTCATGGAAAATGCATTAGAATAGCCCTGATGAATAAAACAAAAAAACCCCACTAAATCACAACTGTGAAATTAGGATAGTCAGTCACTTCCCTAATTTACCTTACTTATTAATAGTGTGATCGGAGTGTTTAACGATACCCAATTTGAGTTGCCAGGAAACTGAAGCAACCTAACATTTGAAATAGCCAATCTTAACTGAATTGGAAATTTTATTTTTAGAAGGTTAATTAAACTTTACGTGTGATCAAAATTCATTCAATTAGACAAATATCAGTACAAATCAATCCAGAAAGGCAAAGGATAAAATAAATGACTGATTTTGTATAACTGCTTGAGTCTATACCCCCAATAAACAGGGGATGATGAAAATACAATCTTTTCTTAGGTTTCTGCCCATGAATATAGTTACATATTTTCTTTTAAATAAACATTATAAAAGGATTAACAGAGAAGATGCAGAAAACCAACCATTTACAATTTAATATCCCACGAATATAAACCCTATTTCAAAATCAAATAAGTATTTTTTTAAATGACTAGGTCTGTCATAGCACAAGAAACACTAAAAATAGCATATATCTATATTATAATATTCACTATTAAAAATAAAAAACTACTAGACACTAATATCCAGAAGGAACATTTTAAAGCCATACTGGTTTTAGGTTTGAAGTGAGAGCACTGTCCAACACAGCTGCCCCATTGCTTTTGTATGATTCACAGAACATTACCAGTAGCTGTTACAGAACTCACCGTAATCATTTTATTTGACCAAATTTCATTCCAATATATAACAATAAACAAAGCTAAGGATAAAACAGCGCATTAGAAATTATGGTAATTAAAATTAACAATCACCTGAGGAAATATCACAAATTATTTCACTGAATAAAAATTAGGGCCATCCATGCATGAAATACATCATAAAGAATTATTTCTGTTATAATTACAAGTGTTTTGACCCTTTATTACTTCAATAAAGTTTTTTCGTTCATGAACCTTTGTATTAAAATATAAATGCTAAAAAAGCAAACAGATGTCATATTCCATTCAGAAAAGGTAAAGATGTATGATGTTTATGTTACAATGAATATGAAAATGAGGCCCACTGTGTACTTTATCATAAACAAATGGAAGTATTCTTGAAAATAAACACTAGGTCATTACAAAACAACTGAGGAGTACTTTATTTTTTCCATTTTCTTAAATGAATTAGGAATACTAAAAAAAATTTTAAAAATATCTGATAGGAACATTCCAGCTCAACCTAGATGAATGCAGAACACAATGAATTCAGCATAGAAATATAGCTAACAGAAAATTCCACTAGTTATACTTTTTAAAATCTGCTGCAAAAAAAAGGATTGAGTGTAACTGTCTCACTTGCTGGAAAAAAATTAAAATACACATTTAATTCCTATCAAGGAACATGGCAGACGTTTTCATGTAGAATCATTCTCCTAAACAACTTTTAATTAAAACCTATGAAAGATGGATACTGAATTAGCTCAAGAGCAAAATGCTCTAAACAAACAGCAGAAATTTGGTAATCAAAAATAAAAAATACCCTACTTTAGAAATAATTATTTCAATCTTTGAAATGTGCATGCAATTTAGTTCTGGGTAATTGTCTCACTGCTTGGTACTATTAATACATATCACTGAAGTTGGAGTCCTTAACCTTACGTTCATTAAGTTCAGACTCCTGAAAGATTTGTGTATTAGAACAAATTCCATTTTCTGACTTCTATACAAAACTAACAATCAGAACACAAAGGTAAGCATACAAGACTAAAAATAATTCTAAGCAAACTAAAGCAAAGAAATGCACATGCACATTTTGATTTTAATCCAGAGTCATGATTGGGATTAAGCCAACTGAAATATACTTTAATAGACGGCTTACTGTATATACACCATACTATGTCATTCTTCAAAAAACAACCCAAAATACAAAATGTAACAAGTGATATAATAAACACTATGTCTTGCTACATTGACATCTATTTCAAAGACAAATAAAAAGCTCAACTCACCTTCAGTCTGTTGAGAAAGTCTTGTTTGCAAATCTATAACAAAAGAGAATTCTACAGCTCAGTGCAGGAACAATGAAGAGCCTCAACTAACAGGGTAAATGTCAGGAAAGCATTAATAAAAGAGGACTACATAGCAGGGTTTATAAAAATAAACTTATAGTAAAACCTGGCAGCCAAACCTCCTTCCCCATTCCTCATTGACAAGGCTTTGGGGGCCTTTTTCTTTCCTCCTATCCTAGGAAACTTACTTATGCCTCTGTCTCCCTACTCCTAGTACTCTTCCACATCTCCTATATATTCCACTATACTACCCTTCACATGGGAATAATGGGAAATGGGGAAAGGGAAGCACACCGGTCAGAAAATCCATGAAAACCCTGATCTTGAGAATTCAATTCCAAGTACTTGGGATATTCAACTCTGGCCGAGAAGATGACAGTTTAATTAGGTCTGGTTTCCTGGCATAGTATGGAAATTTAACGAAGCAGGAATAAACTTTAACCAACTTTACTATAATCTATGAAATACAAGAATTTAATCATCTAGTCACTATTAAAAACAGAATGGGGATTTTTACCAATATATTTCCCCGTATATAATCATTAAATTCTCCACTGGAAGGCAAGTTAACAGAAAGCTGCTTGGCACTGCAACAAGTGTAAATAAAAAACAAAATGTCATTGTGCTAGCTTGAAGTTTAAAATTATAAAAATACACAATATAAAAATTGTTTAGATCCAGTAACCTAATTTTCATTTAACATGTGATTCAATTGCAATACTTTTATCATCTGGGTGTCTTGCTGAGTACAGAAAAAAATTAAAAATGGGCAAAAATGGCACCTGGCTTATTCAGTCAGTGGACAGTGCAACTTGATCTCAGGGTTCTGAGTTCAATCCCCTCAATGGATGTAGAGATTACTTAAAAACTCAAGGGGGGGGCGGGAAAAAGGAAAAGGGATCGGTACCCCCAGTTATGGTGGTCCTAAGTGCTCAAAACTGGTGTATGAGGGAGATGAAGAAATGTAACTGGTATATTCTGAAGGCACATGAAGATAGGACCATAGAAACACTGTCGAACTTTAAATTATAACCCAATTTATCTTTTCTTTCCATACAATAGGAAAAAAGGTATAGATATAAAAAACCTATCCTATGGGATGCCTGGATGCCTCAATCAGAAGAGCACAGGACTTCTGATCTCAGGGTTGTGAGTTCGAGCCCCACGTTGGATGTAGAGTTTAATAAATGAAAACTTAAAAAAAATCCACGGTATTTTAAAGGTATGTAAGTAACTATCAAGATTTCAAAAATGACTTTATAGGTCATTTGTGACAAGTTAGGAAACAAAGCATAGGTTTCATCGGAATCTATCTTAGAAACAACTTGTTAAATTTCCAAAATAAAGTGCATGGAGTGATGACTCACCCTTGGTTTTAAAAAACAGCTTTAAAGAACTTAGGAGAAAGGGCTTTGGACACATTAACACTCAGCAATTTACACCTTTTCAACAAAAAGTAAGGTTTCAATGATGACTATCTGGAGAAAAACACCGAGTTAATGTAAATATTTACCTAAAAATTGAGTGACTGAGCAATAGCAATCTATAGGAAGTTTAAGAAGACAGAATCAAACTTTATATAATCATCTCAATAAATGCTAATAAGGGTGAATATAAAAAAATACAGATAACTGGCTATTTAACCAATCCACATTCACCTTTGTAGAATTCTAGTTGATCACAATCAGCCCACCTTAACTATAAACTTGCACAGTTAAGTGTGCCCAAGGTGTAGCCATACATCGTGCATCGGGAAGGAAAGGCTAAGAAAAGTAGTAAGATCTAACTTTCAAAAATCTTCAATTAGATGAAGATATTGTTTATGAAGAACACTGAATCAACATATTTGATACTGCACCCAGGATATAACGTAAGACTGTTTAGAAACGAATCCTATGTTACTACACCAAATCCCTGAAGACAGCTGACAAATACTCACTAGCCGCTAGTCAAATACCTAGAATATGATAAACAAGCATTTTCTAAATTATTAAAAGAATGATCTGAACAATGGGAAGTAATAGGAGGCTACAGTTTTCAGATTTAAATAGCAAGTTTAAAACCATAGACTGAGTTACATTTCTGGAAGGGATGGGTTCCTTAAATGTCTTTGATTGTATCAAGTGGCATTCTTTGGCTATTTGGTCACTCAAGAAATTAAATGTCTAATACTTATTTATAAAGTCAAAACAATTTAGTGATACTTGGGGGAGTTACCCAGTGACAAAAAAAATACAGAAATCCATTAATGGTTATGATTTTCTCCCCATTAAGGATAAACTAGCATGGTTTTATCTGAAAATTTTTTAAGATTTATTTATTTAAGAGAGAGAAAGAAACAGCATGAGTGGGAGGGGCAGAGGGAGAGGTGGAGAGAATCTCAAGCTGACTCCATGCCCACTGTGGAGCCTGACTACGAGGTGGGGCTGGATCTCAAAACCCTGAGATCATGACGTAATCTGAAATCAAGAGACCGATGCTTAACCCACTGAGCCACCCAGGCGCCCCAGTTTTTTCAGAAGTTTTATAAATACCTATCAGATTTCAAAATAAATAATATAATCTGACAGGTGAAACACAAAAACACAAAAGGCAGATTTTCTAAACTTACTCACAAACTTGTAGACATCCACTAAAAAGAAAACAATGAAAGGGCCCTTCTCTCTTAATAACAGAATATAAAAGCAAAAATGATCCTCTCCTTTAATTAATGAGCTTTTTTTTTTTTAATTAATGAGCTTTTGATTTAAATGGAAATCATCAATCAACCACATGGACCTTTATTGTATATTCAGATGCAGTACTGTGGTCTTAGACTGTCAAGAGTCTCACTTTATTTTTATTATTATGTTAATCACCATACAGTACATCATTAGTTTTTGATGTAGTGTTCCATGATTCATCGTTTGCATATAACACCCAGTGCTCCATGCAGAACGTGCCCTCTTTATAGATAAAATTCATTAATACAAAGTGCCATACTTTCTTGGGATATAGAGTCCCTGTCTTCCAAGGTCCAAAATACAAATGGCTCTTCTTAGATGTTCTAAAAGCAAGGTCCTCAACATTTCAAAATTAAATGCTACCCTAGCTCACAGATCTGGGTTAGCATCAAGCAGATTTGAGGTACTTAAGCCATAATGAAAACAGTGTTTCATAAACTAAACCCCTTGTTACACAACTGTAATAAACCATCACTTCTCTATTTTCCTGCCCTCTTCAGGAGCTCCCATTACCCTAAGAGAAAATCTCAAAATACCATGTAGAAGAAAGCAGTTTTCTTTGCACTCTTGATACTCTATTTTATATAAAGCTTGATTTAAAGGCCCCTGATAGTTTTCTCAACTCAAACATCATAAAGAAAAACATTTTTTGAAACAATATAAACTTGGTGTTTAAGAAAACTCATATATTTAAAAAGGTCTAACAGGCTAACTAAAAAATAGTATGTAGTGTTCAAAAAAAAATGCCGATAGCCTATTATTATTAGTGAATACTTCCAGTCTCTATCTCCATTTCCTTTAAATTTACAGGCTAAAAAGTACTTATGAATTGAATTCTCAGTAAGTCCTTTTAAATACAAAAATTTGGCAAATTTTCGAATTAGGTGAAAAAACAATGATTTCAAATTAGAAAAGATTCAATTCCTACCTGCCACAGCACCAAATGCCAAAGAGCCACTCATTTGTAGAGCCTGCTGTGCTGCTGGTGGAATCTGCAAACCTGTACCTGTGTAAAAGAAATAGATCTTACAGTCCTTACCATGGTAAGGGCAAAAAAAAACCCCAATTTTCTGGGTTACTACTACTACCAAAGTCACTTCACCAAAAGTATTTACAACAAGCAGGACATGGTATAATACTGGAAACTAAGTTTATTAAGTAGGAGAATATAATTATTATAAAAAAGCAAAAAGAATCCTATAATGTATGCTGTGGCTCTCAAGAAGCACCACCATAAAGTAGATTCCATTAGAACCTTAAGAAAAGTAACCTCATCTATGAAACTGCATATACCACCCAAGGATAAGGTCAACTACAAAATAAGAAAAAATTATTTTTTCATTTATTAGTCTGTGAGGGTTAGCTTTCCATTACCATATCCACAATAAATCAGTCACAACACATGGAAAAACTTACCTTCTGCAAGTCTTGCCATTAACTGGAGACGACCAGTTGTTCCCAAGTCAATTCCAGTCCTTTCCAGTTCATCACTGTCCAAAAATGAGCTAGCACTGGAAGCATCAGTACGTTCAGTAACATGACCAACTTTCATTGGTCTTCCTGCTAACTCAAATCCATTAAGTTGTTCCAAAGCCTTCTTGGCACATTCTGAGTCAGAAAACTGTAATTGAGAGAGGGGTGAAAGTTAAAAGTCCAGTATGTTAGCATATATACCGAAGGTAAAAAAATGGTTACTTATAAGTCTAGTCTATTCAATAATTATACAACTGGGTGGATAAGTGGAAATTTCTAGCTTTAAGTAATATAACCTATATGATCAGTCCACAAGCTCATTCAAATCAGCTTTGCTGAAGTGATGGTTTGAACAGCAAGATATTACCAAACAATGACATCTATATTTGGACATACAGAATCTTAGTAACAGAATATGTAAAGTAATGTTTGTAACATCAAAACACTTTTTCTTTTAAGCTTTTATTTATTTGAGAGAGAGCACAAGAGGGGGGAGGGTCAGAGGGAGCAGCAGACTCCCTGCTGAGCAGGAAGCCCGATGTGGGGCTCGTTCCGGGGACTCCAGGATCATGACCTGAGTCGAAGGCAGTTGCTTAACCAACTGAGCCACCCAGGCGCCCCTAAATTGTGAAAATTCTTAATTCCCAGGATGCAAACACAAACTTAGTTGCACACTGATTTTCATTTAATGGGAAAAAAAAAATACAGGAATCCCATTGCTCAATCTTTCATCAGTATGATTCAAAACATTTTCTCTTATTCAAAGAGGAAAAATTACGGATACTTACAAACATTTACCAACACACAGCACCATGTAAATTTAAATAATCTAGTTTTGTACACAGACCATTAAATCATAGCCAATAGTTCAAACACAGTTAATATTAAAAATGTTTTTAATAGGGGCACCTGGGTTGCTCAGTCGGTTAAGTGTCACCTACCTTTGGTTCAGGTCATGATCCCAGGGTCCTGGGATTGAGCCCCACCCAGCAAAGAGCCTGCTTCTCTCTATGCCCCTCCCTCTGCCCCTTCCCCTGCTTGTTCTCTCTCAAATAAAATCTTTAAAAAAAAAATGTTTTTATTAAAATGTTTTGCAAAGTATTCCTTTATTTTTTTTTTTTTCCAAAGTTATTATTTATTTATTTGACAGAGACAGAGACAGCGAGAGCAGGAACACAAGCAGGGGGAGTGGGAAAGGGAGCAGGCTTCCCGCTGAGCAGGAAGCCCACTGCGGGACTCAATCCCAGGACCCTGGGATCATGACCTGAGCCGAAGGCAGCCGCTTAACGACTGAGCCATCCAGGCACCCAGTACTCCTTTATTCTTTACCTAACATTTAATAAGGTTTCTAGTAAAACCGCCTATCGACTAAATATTTAAGAACCAAACCTATTACATAAAAAACTACTTTAGGTAACACATGGTAAAATATTCAATTTAATACAAGTTATGTGTAAAATCCCTTGACCACACCATTTTGAGGAAAAAGGAAAAGAACCACACTCACATTAGGAACAAAATGGTACTGGGGCACCTGGGTGGCTCAGTGGGTTAAGCACTGCCTTTGGCTCAGGTCATGATCCCGTAGTTTTGGGAATGAGCCCCAAGTTGGGCTTCCTGTTCAGTGGGGGAGTTGGCTTCTCCCTCCCTCTTCCCCGTTCCCTCTCTCTCGCTCACTCACTCTCTCTCTCTCAAAATCTTTGTAAGTTATTAACAGTTTTATAAACTTTTCTCCTTTCATCAGTATATAAAGATGAACATCCCAATGACCAATGAAACTTTGTCACTAAAAAAGACATTTATTTTTTTTGAGAGAGGAGGTGGGGGAGAGAGAAAATCTCAAGCAGACTCCATGCCCAGTGTGGAGCCCAACGCAGAGCTGGATCTCATGATCCTGAGATCATGACCTGACCCGAGATCAAGTCAGATGTCTAACCTAGTGAAACAATCAGGTGCCAAATTTGGATATAATACAATTATATAACTTTTTTTTGAAGATTTTATTATTATTATTATATTTCAGAACCTTCCAAAGTTCTAACACCAAACATTCGAAAAACTGCTATGATGTAATTGAATTGCGTTGGGAATTAGAAATATAAATAGGGTTTACTTTTAAAGGGGCACCTCCATTCACAGTTATTCCAGCTGCCACCTAACTCTCATCAGGGAATGGGCTGCGAAGGTTAGCCACGAACTTTTTAGATTTACTTATTTATTTAGAGAGAGCACACATGTGTGAGCATGGGGAGGAGGAACAGGAGAGGAAGAGAGAATCTCAAGCAGACTCCATGCCCAGTGCAGATCCCAATGCAGCACTAGGTATCAGGACTCTGAGATCAGGACCTGAGCTGAAATGAAGAGCCAGATGCTTAACCAACTGGGCCACCCCAGACCTCCCCCCAAAACGCTGATTCAATAAACTAATTCTGATTGTGGTTGTGAGATGCATACATATAATAGTAATTTTAAGTAAAACAGAATATAAAGACACTCGTTCAACTGACAAAATCATATCACAAAATTACAGACCAAAGAACTCATAATGGGTTCATAAATTTCAATTACATGGCAACTTAGCTATGCAAACAGGATAATAGAAAACTGGCTAAACGGCAACATTTCGTAAACAGGGCTACTAAAGGCAAACCAATTTAAACCATTCAAAAATATTAACCCTTACCCACTATCAATAACTAGTACCAATCAATCAAACCTTTAAGTCACAATGTTAATCATGGTAATGCTTACCGTAATAAATCCATATCCCTTAGATCGGCCTGTTTCACTATCCATCATGAGTTGGATACTTTCGATCTAAAAATAAAAACAATTATGTAAGTGCAAAGGAGGAAGCAAAAGTGTATTATTCCTTGAAGTATGATTTAAAGTCTCTCCCCCTAAAAACAAAAACCAACCATCACAACCCCTCACTTCCAAAAGAAGTTCTGAAAGCCTAGATACTTCCCAAACAAAAAGTTTGCACTGTGGAGCAGGAAAGAAAAAAAGTACAATCTTAAGTCTTCTGCCTCAAAAACAAACCACTAAAAACCAGAGGTCCCTTGTGAACTACAATCAGGTGTTAGAAATAAAATTAACATTGTTTCCTTTCCATTAAGCCATACACACTGAACATTAATTCTCAATAATACCAGACACAATAAATTGTCCAAGATGCTGGAATAACTAAAATAGGGCACTTGGCTGGCTCAGTCAGTAGAGCATGTGACTCTTGGTCTCAGGGTTTTGAGTTCAAGCTGCACAGTGGATGTAGAGCTTACTTAAAAATAAAAATACTGGGACGCCTGGGTGGCTCAGTCTATTAAGCATCTGCCTTCGGCTCAGGTCATGATCCCAGTGTCTAGCATCAGACTCCTTGCTCAGTGGGGAGCCTGCTTCTCCCTCTGCTTGTGCTCGCTCTCTGACAAATAAATAAAATCTTTAAAAAATAACTAAATCTTACAAACAAGGGCAGCTGGGTGGCACAGTTATATGTCTGACTCTTGGTTTCAACTCAGATCATCTCAGGGGTTGAGAGATCAAGTCCTGCATGGTACTCCATGCTCAGCTTGCTTGAGACTCTCTCCCCCCCACCCGGTCCCCCCCAACCCTGCTCTAATAAATCTTAAAAAAAAAAAAATCTTAATAAAATCAACACTGATTGTAGTTATCAACGTACAACTCTGTGAACACAATAAAAGGCAATAGATTGTTAAGCAGGTGAAGTATATAGTTTGTTTACATCACAGTATCTCAATAAAGCTGTTCATACACAGAAAGCATGAAAAATTAAAACACAGCATGGGGGCGCCTGGGTGGCTCAGCTGGTTAAACAACTGTCTCCTGCTCAGGTCATGATCCCAGGGTCCTGGGATCAACTCCCACATAGGGCTTCCCTTGCTCTGCTGGAAGCCTGCTTCTCCCTCTTCCTGCCACTCTCCCCGCTTGTGCTATCCCCCTCTGTCAAATGAATAAAAAAAAAAATCTTAAAAAAAAAAAAAATTTTCTGGAATGGATATACATTTCTTTATGTCCTGGTAATTTCAGGAATGCATTAATTTTGGGGTGACTGACCCAAAAAAACAAACAAAAGAACACCATTTGTACATCACTAGTGTGTGCATACTTCTAATTTAATAAAACACCCACAATCAACACCCAGCTTTTACCATTACTGACTCTTCAGTTTAACAAAAGGGTTGAATGGAAATAGTGAAAAAGTATATCCAAGGGCAATGAAGAGTAGTAGTGGATACAGTTTAACAGTTACCAACATTTTTATTCATGGCCACATAATGAATCTTTTAAACTACAATACAACTTACTAGTATTAACATTTATTCTAAAATAAACTGTTCATGCTGAGGAGGACCAATTGGGAACAGTCTAACTCCTTAATTTAGTAGATAGAGCAGCTTTTCTACCTACCCCTAAATTTTCAGTAGACAAAATACAGGCATCCAAAAAAACATCAACAGGGGGGTGCCTGGCTTGCTCAGTCAGAAGAGCATGCAACTCTTGATCTTGGGGCGAGTTCAGGCACCCACATTGGAGAGGTAGATTGTACATTAAAAAAAAAAAAAAAAATACCGCCCCAAAGACCCAACCAAGAAAAAAAAATTTCTTGTTCCAAATGCACAGGATACTTTCATGTTGACTTGAAAAAAATGATTGCTTCTGATACTCTATACATTTCACTGCAGCCTTATGAATGACAACACTAACAGATTCTCTATCTTCAAATGTTACCTTCTTTCAGAGATACTATCTTAATCTACCATGCCACAAAACCCTTTCAGAACCACCCTTCCCCGTCTTATTATTAAGCTCACTGAAACATGACAAAGTAGATATACAGAATTATTATGCAGTGATATTTGGATAAGAACCTATTAAGGATCATTGACGATATTGGCACTTACCCTTCCAAAAGGCTCAAAGATTCCCCGAAGCATATCTTCAGTTATGTTAAAGTGTAATGAGCCCACATAAAGCCTCATTGGTCCAGCACTTCCCTTTTGTAGATTGTTTGCCATTGCTGCAGCTCTGTTTTTTTCTGCCTGTAAGTTGGATAAGACAAAATGCACATCACACAGCACTAATCCAAATCATTTTAATCATAGTAAAATCCCATTCACTTTGAGTTTGCTTAATGACTAGTGATGCCAAAGGTTAGTGATGAAATTACGCTAAGTTTAGTAAGTCATACACAGGACAAATATTCCACTTACATGTGACTGTGATTAATGGCACTGAATTAAAATTTTAAGAAAATGGTTCCAATGCCAATTTTCTAAACAAAAACTTCAATATTTTATTCAACTTAAGATATGTTTTGCCACAAAAACTTTAGAGAAGTTTTACAAACATATGCAAGTCATATATAAAGCAATCATACACTCCATTTCATATGTAAAAAATGAAATCAATCCTAAAAGTACACTATGCCATCTAAATGATAGGCATCCTGGTAACAGACATGCTAAATGTGGAAAATAAGACTGTCTCCTGGAATTGGTAAATACATTTGTTATTAATATTAATGTACTCTCAAATTCATTGTTACTCAAAGTACAGTATACACCAACTGGCTGGCTGCCATAAAGGGGCTTTTTTGACAATATAAAATCAATCAAGCAAAGCATCAAGTTTAGCTGTCACTTTTTCCGAAAGAAGTCTTTCTCAAAGGTAATGGTTATTAATTCATATTCTACCATAAGCTCCTTTTCTTAACAAATTGAGACATTTTGAGTATGTCCAAAGGAGGTTAAAGTTGAATGAATTCAAAACCTCATTTGAGGATTCTCAGCCCTCTTCAAGCCAATCTACACACTATTAAATTTATCCTCCATTGCAGAAGTGAATCAAAAACTATTTTTCCCATTTCCTAACAATTACTCTCCTATTGTTTACATATAATCAAGTGATAGGTATTTCTAAAACACTAAATAGGACCTATTATTGTCTTTTAGATATGACAGAAGCTACTAACGTGATCAATGTTATATACAGCTTATTAACAGTGAGTAAAACTGGAAAGTCAGATCTGGTTCCAAAGCTTGTGCATAACTTTATAGTATCATGTAAGTTTGATGAAGTAACCAGATTACTGAGGAGTTACAGAGTACTTATTTCAGTGGTTTGGAAGGCTATCAACATGACTATTTTATGCACTGTTCAAAAATATTCTTTAAATCCTATATTCTCCATTAAAAAAACACCTGAGCTAGCAAGCAGTAACGTATCAATAATGGTCTTAATAAAAATAGCTACTGATATCTTAAAAAATACTTTCATATAATAAAATACATCTCAATTTTTCCACATTTAAATGAACTAATATTATTAAAGCTAATTTCATTTCCCAAAAGCAATACTGGATTACTATATAATAAATAAAGTACCAGCAAAAAGAAATTAAACAGTAGACGTTTTAAACAGAAAACATTCTCAAGATCAGTTTGACACATCTTACCTTCAAGAAATGCTAGAAAACGATAGCTGCTCAAACTACTCTTAACATTTTATAAAATCTTATGCAAGAGTGTATTATAAAACACTGAAAATATTAAATTTATTAAAAATGTCAAAATCGGGCGCCTGGGTGGCTCAGTTGGTTGAGCGGCTGCCTTCGGCTCAGGTCATGATCCTGGAGTCCTGGGATCGAGCCCCGCCATCGGGCTCCCTGCTCAGCAGGGAGTCTGCTTCTCCCTCTGACCCTCCCCCCTCTCATGTGCTCGCTCTCAAATAAATAAATAAAATCTTTAAAAAAAAAAAATGTCAAGATCACTCCATTTGAAAGAAAGGATAAACATGTTAATTAAATGCTTCTATCCCCAACCAATAAATTATCACAAATCAATAAAATTCTAGACCAAGTTCTCAGGTCTTTTCCATGAAATAGATATTTACAATTTATATTAGAACAGAATGTTGTTGAGAACATACTATTATCAAAGTAACCAAGACAAAGTTTAAAAGAAAAAGCTGTTCTGAGAACATCTAACTCAAATTAATGATTATGTAAGACACTACAGTGTAACATTAATAAGCAAGAGCAGGTTTCTTGCACGATCACTAATCAAATTCCTAACCAAGAAAATTACCTGTGAAGCTTGTACTATGATTGGCACTCCTAAAACACGTTGGCCAGTTAATCCTATTGCTAGAGGCACTGAGCTAACATCAACAAACTCCACATATGCAATTCCTTTGGAACGTCTTGAATTTCTATCAGAAATCATTCTCACATCTCGAACCTAAAAAGAAGACACACACTTAACATAAGCTTCTGTTTATGCAACTGTCCACCATAAATCATTAAAGGAATTTTACTGATATGTGGTTTATTTAAAGTAATCTCTATACCCAAAGTGGGGCATGAATTCGTGACCAGAGATCAAGAGTTGCATGTTCCTCCGCGTGAACTTGCCAGGTGCCCCCCAATGTTTTAAATAAGTGAACTTGTCAGTCCACTTCTACTTTTGATGAATACGTGATAAGTTATTAATTCCAACACTATTAATTTCCAACTGAGGCAAAATAGAAATGTTATGCAAAAGTTTCCCTAACTGATTTCTAACTCAAAAGATTTGGTGTTTAAATATTCTCTAATTTAACCAGGCATACTGACAATTAAAAAGTTGTTCACAATTCCCATTTACTCGACCTCCCGAAATAGACTAAAAACTTACCTTTCCTACTGTAGAGAAAAACTCTTCCAAATCCCTTGGCCGAATTCTTGCTGCCAGCTGCATGCAGAAAACTGTCCTTGCATCTCTTTCCTCAGGAGTTAGATTATCAATAGGTTCCCTAACAGGAACAAAAAATAAACCTTATAAACTATATTCTTAAAATAACCTTATAAAGTTCGTTTTCAATAAACAAACTTTACCGGAAGTAGTCACTATTCCCAAGCCCATTTTCTTTTAAGATTTTATTTATTTATGAGAGGAAGAGAGAAAGCACGTGCACAAGCAGTGAAGAGGCAGAGGAAGAGAGAAGCAGACTCCCCCCACTGAGCAGGGTGCCAGGTGATCATGACCTGTGGAAGGCAGATCCTTAACTGTCTGAGCCACCCAGCTGCCCCTCCCAAGCTCATTTTCACCAAGATTTATACAAAATGTCCATAAAATAATTCAGTGTGACTCAATTCCTTCAACAAGATAGTTACTTAATGTTTCTTCTGCTAATATCTTACATGGTATTAGGACAAAGTCCATTAGCATCTCAATCTTACAAATTGTAATTTCTGCAGAATAATAAAAGACCAATCTGAACCCTGAGAGTTTAATAGTCACAGAAAATAACCACTTACTAGCTACAATGTCAGAATGGTCCAAATTAGTGGAAAGGATGACTTTCCGTAACAAAACCGTAAGACCATGAAGTGAAATAAAGTTTGACAATCATAGATGACCAACTTGAGATAGTGAGAACTATTTTATTCTGATTTTCCCCCTGAATTTTATTTAACAAATTGAGATAGATCTATGCAATCGTGGTTGTTTATTCTATCAAGTCTTACACTCTACAAATTTAGTATCCAAAGCAATGTTTCTTGATGGTTATAAAATACAGAAATACCCATATACAAATCAAAAATGAAAAGCAGGAAATTATCTAAATAAATACCAGTAGTGGGATTCAATTTATTCATTCTTACAGACAGCCTTGAAGACCAAGAGCCCTTCTTATTATATAGAGGAAACTAAAGTGCCCAAGTAAAAGCATGAGATGACAATTTCATGAATTTCAAGGAAAAAAACAGAAGTGCCTATTAATGTTACTTATTAAAAACCATCACTAAAGGTTAAGGTTCTAAGTGAAACCCTAAAGATAAAAGCACAAACATGCTCTTATCCACATTTCTGGACATTTTCAGGAAGGTCCTTTTGAAATATTCCACCTACAAAATTCTGGTACATTTCCTTGGCAAATCAGCAGCTAATTTCAAAGTATAAAACAGAGGTACAAAGCTAGACTACATCCAGAGAATGAGAAAAGGGGATTTTCTTACAAGAGTAAATATTAAAGAGTGTAAAAAAAGCTCAGTAGGTTACAAAAAAAGAGCTTTTAAAATCATTAAGGTTTTCACATCAAATTCTAGAATTAGAATATACCAAATAAGGAAGTCTAAGTTAAAAGGTGCCCTTTAAGGGAAGCCAGAAAGAGTATCAGTAAACAATGCTGCCATTTATCAAAAGTTTCCTTAAGCCAAAATAAATGGTAGCTTTCATAAGTGACTCTTATATTTAAGAGGAAAATAACTCACAACATTTGATAACATAAGATTACTACTTAGAAACAAGTCAACTTGGTTAAGATTTTGGAAATTAAATACTTTATCTCAGTAAAGAGAGCCAGATTAATAAAACTCATGACTGTAGAACCAATTTTCCCATGAGGGTATTTTAGTAACTCAAAATTTATTAATTCCAAAGATAAGCAAAGACAAATCTATTTAAAATTTTCTGTAGTTATCTTTAAAAGGGATTTAAGAGCACATGCAGTACCTTACACCTTAAAATTGTAATCACTGCTCCGTTCTTATAGAAAATTAAAATGAAAACTTAAAAACATCCACATTAACATAGTCCAAATTATTAAATATTAATAAATTTAACAGTAGCATAAGTTGCAAAAGCTTTACAAAAGCTGAAAGTGCTAAAGATTAAAAAAAAAAGGGACAACAGCTACCTCACAGGGCTCTTGTCTTTTCTGAATGGACTTTTGCTTCGAGAGCGTCGTCTGCTGCAAAGTTAAAAAGTTTCAGAAATTACCCAAACAAGTACACCACATTAGTTCCTTGAAAAACAATTTAAACAATTCAGAAGTATGTTTAAAAACCTTAATTTGATGCTATGAGGCAACCCAATCTTTCCTCGGATGGCACTGTTAAATTTTGGTCCGGAGCTAAAAAGGAAACACAAAATTACACTAGTTACAGGGTTAGGGTCTTGCTAAGACGCGTTCATGCGCTCTCCAGCAAGTTTAACATTGTTAAGGCTGATTTTTTTCCACCTCAATTATGAAGAGGAAATAAAAGACTTTTTTTTCTTAACTCTATCCCAGGCAACTGCTCTTAGAGTTATCCATCCTGGACCACTGAGAGGTGCCGAGACCAAAGGTTACAGCCTCAATATTGTTAAGATTCTGAAAATTCTATCATTTTCAGTCTATTGTTTTTTCTTAATTACACATTTATGAATACATTCCTGAGGACTTTTTTAAAGTGAAAATAGATCACCCTGAATTTCCCTCACACCAGGAGTAACTACAGTTAACAATTTGGTGTGTATCTTTGCAGATCCGTTCCCAGGAATTTATGTATTTGTATGTTTGTATATACACAAAATTCATACATAACATTTTCTTGTTCGAGGAATTTTTAAAAGGGGACTGATTCTTTATTATCGTGAAACTCCCAACTATTCCATTTAACAGTATGTCTCAGAGACTGCATGAAAGCAGTTTGTCATATTTCTGTGACAAAATATTCCACAGTAAAGATGTGAAGAAAATAAATTAGTATTTCAAAAATTTTTTGTGAACTTGACGTAACAAATGAATATTTTCAAAAGACATCGTAACATTTTTCTAAGATCCAGTTTTATTCTGAATTCTAAAAAGGCCTAATAGTTTTGGGGCCTTTTTTTTAATTTTGAAAGACCAAATTAACTTAAAGGGACAGGTCAGATGTCCCTTAGTGCTCATCCTACTCTCCTTTTCAAGAAGGGTAGCAAAATCGAAGTATCTAGTGGTATGTGTTCCACATTTGGATTCATTTTCATGGACTCTAAGCATACCTGCCGACACCCAAGCAGCTCCAAATAAATTTTGTATTAATTGGGTCCTTCACAATTCAGACTAATAGTCACAATTAAGAATATAAATTTACCGAATTAAATATCACATGAACTACACATAAGAACTAAATCATTTTTAAGTCAAACCAGAATTATAGGCCGACTTCAAGTATCCATCACTAAAACAGATAATACAAAATTTATTATGGCAATCCCTCTCCTCCTATTTAATTAATTCTGGTAAAAACAAATATGGTAAATCTTAATAAATTAGATCAAAAAAGTTATTATTTATTCATTCAGAATTAAAACACTGTGGTCCTCTTTCAGCTCTTAAATGTTTGTGAAATAAGCAGCTAGGAGGAACTTAAGAGAACAACTTCAATCCTTTTTATTTAAAGGTTAAAGAGCCAGAATCAGAACCCAAAGTGTTACTAACTTTAATGGCTTCCAATAATACCCAAGCATTTCATGAGTAGCAAGTATTGTGGGTCCTTTATTTTCATTGTCTTGTAGATTCAATACTCATTAAAGTTCATCTGTCAGTTGTTACCTCTTTCTTAAAAGATGAGAAAACTAAATCTCAGAGTGTTAACTTGTCCAAGTAGAAGAATCAAAACTCTTATTCAGGTCTGTTTGTCTTTCAAGTCCATTTCCAACCATTCAAGTTAGGAGTGCTAATTTTAATACATTCCCCCACAGTTTACAACAATATATTCATTAAGAAGAAAGAACAAGGTTAAAAAGGGCTAAGGACTGCTAGATTCAATCCTTGCCCAAGAGTTGTAGGTACGTTCCTTCCAAACTTAACATAGCTTTTTAAATGACATAATAGAACATGTTTCCAACTTGTTAAACCAGTCAAATTTCCATAGTGATTTCAAAGCACTTTAGTGTTTTACTGTTTTTACAAACCTTAAATATGTGATGAGCCCCAAAATTCATCATTATCAAGGAGCATACACCAAATTCACAAAGGATCTGTCATTTCAGCTGAAAAACAGCCAAATTACGTATTTGCCTAATTATTTGTATTTATATCTATTTGAGCTTTAAAATTTTAAATTTATGTTCAGCAAAGAATATCTGAAATAGCTCACATACCTTTTAAGCTTTCAAATATTTGGCACTACAATATCAAGTCTTTTAAGCACTCCAGTGCTTTGGTCTAGTTTAGACTGGCATACAGTTAAAATATTTTAGATGGAATAACAAACTGTATGCCTAGTAAAACAAAAGTTATGTATTGGTCCACACACTATATTTCTACTTTGCTAGTATTTTCAATGCCAATATCCTTATTTAATGCTTTTTAACTAGTCATATCGAAAAACAAATTTTACAATGCAAATTACGCAGGTTTGTTTTCTGGATACCCAGAGAATGACTCTCAAACCAAAATCATCATAATTATAGTTACATACTAAGGACTTCTGTAGCGGCCTCTGAATCTGCGATCTCGACTTCTTGAGCGGCTCCGTCTCCTTTCTTTGCTCCTACTTCGCTTCCTTTCACGGCTTTTGCTCTTTTTCCTTTCTCTATCTCTACTTCGTTTCCGTTCCTTACTTTTGCTTCTTTTTCGTTCATGACTACGACTTCTGCTCTTGCTTTTTTTCCTCCTGAGAAGAAAAAAAATTACCATTATCTTGCTAGTTTAAAAAACTGTCAAAATATACTTCCTTTTATGGTCAGAAATCTTTTAAATCTTTTTGTAAGTTTATCTTGCTATTTTTACTATTATACAATGATACATAATCATACTTATGGAAAAATAATTCCTAGGTAAGGTAAATAGCACCCCACCTTTGCCTTCTACTACTGAAAGTCAGCAGTCAGTTGACAATCAGTTGAGAGCAGGAACTATAATGATCGCTCCTGAGACCTGAGAGTCAGTTACAGCTTTAACAATGAAATCATTTGTTGGGAGGTAGATAAAAACCTGAACTTTTAAATAGTTTGACCAACATGTAACTGGCCAACGAGTTATTACTGTAATCCACTAGATATAGTAATAAAAATCAAAGTTACAGTAGACTATATTAACATTTAAGTAATAGTGGGTCATATAAAAAATTTTTCATTAAAACCACGAACTTCCTTTATGTGAGCCAATTTTGACTCAATCTACACATATGAATATTTTCTACTTCAAAGGGTCATACAAGCATCAATACTTTGGTTTTCATGGGCAAACTTACAAGTACTGACAAAGAACAATAAAACTAACGCAGTAACGTGCATTCTGACACACCTAGACTTTTGTGACCTTTTCAGATGTATCTATTTAAAGTTATAATGAGTACACAAGAAAATGGGAGCATGCCAGTTTATACAAGCCTGTGGGGTGCAATCAAAAACAAGGATCAACACCTTTATCAATCTTTATAAAATCTCAAACTCTGAAAAGTAAAAAAGCCAGTCAGTCATATCTTTCTGTTCATTTCTGTATTCCTCACAGTATACCACCCATTCATTTTGTAATTAAATCTTACCATCTGTACCTCTGCAATCACCCAAATTTTAGAGGTGCCTTCAGATATTTCAATATAAATTCAAAGACAGTTAAAAATAAACTTATTCCACTAAAATGTCAATTTGTAGTGGCTAAAAAGATAAAACATTTTGACAACTCTACATCATTTGGAAAACTTAATTAAACTCTTTAGTCCTTATCAAAGCAAAGTTAGCACAAGAGCAATTGAAGTCTGCCTCAGAGAACCTGTAAGCAGGTCATCTTAGAGTGCATTGAAAATAGAAAATGAAGACACCCACCTTCTGGAATCTTGAAACCCACACTCCAATCACAAGGAGATGTAGAGCTTTCCAAGGAGGCAGAAACTTTGTCTAAAATTTCAAGATAATCCACCTGACTGTCAGAAATGTATATGCTAGGTAGCACATGACAGAAAATTAGGCTACACTCATTATTTATATAGAAGTCATCAAAGCAATGCCCAGAAGGGCAACAGATTACATTCCAACTTTGTTGCCTGAAACACCTGACACTATGTCTTAGTCTATGAATTCTGTGAGATAGCTATAATCAGAAGTCCTACATATAATCAATCAGGGGACAAAGTAACTCCATCCCCCACAAAGGACAGACAAATAAAGTATTGCTCTGCTCATAGAAGGCCCACAGCAGAGAGGCAGCCAACCTCCCAATCTACCTTTTTGTAGGCCCAAAACTTATTCTGCCAAAGGAAAGGACTGGAAAATCGGAAAGCTAACTTCAACTAAAAGTCTTCCTAGAACTTTTTACAAGTCCCCACCCACATCTGAAGGCAACCCCAGAGAGGTAAAAACACAGCAACATACTAAGACATTCAGAAGCACGATCCTCTTCATAAAAGCCCAGACAAAAATTTAAGCAAGCAGTATTCTTCTCTATAACAAAATGCAACTTGAAAGAACATTAAGTTAACTAAAGAAGGGTTATCAAAATCCACACTAATAGTCAAATCCTGTTACAACTTAAAAGGGACTTTCCAAAGTCTTTAGTGGCAGTGGAATTTTGTACTGAACATCATTGAAGTAAATGGTCCACTGGGCTGGGCCTTTGGACTTTTTGGTTATATGGCCTCTGCTGTAAAGGTGTTTTGCTATAACTGGATTTGACCTCTTCCATGTAAGAAGATCTAAAATTTAAATGCAAAGTACTCTGGAAAATAAGAAAAAAAATAGAAAAGTCATTTATTCCAAAATTTATAATCCACACACAGTAGCCAATATATTTCAACTGTGTCATTTTATTGTTATCCTTTTTTGAGTAATTCCTAAAGAGCTTAACTGAATGGACGCTGGTTTAGACTTTACAAAAATGGTTACACTAACAAATCATACTCCCACGAAGGCAAGCTCAGATACTTAAAAGGTATACTTTGAGGTCTTGCCAAACTCAGGGGTATAGCTTTTCAGAAAGAAGGCTAACTGATAACCAATTTGTGTTATATTTAACTTATTTCCTTCTACTACCACCAAAATACAACTGAGTGTACGTATTGAGAATCGGAACTATTTTTAAAGAAAACGTTTACTAGTTGGTAAACTCAGTTTCTCAGAATGTGCATTTTCTTACTACCTTAAAACTATATCCCAACGCTCAACTGCTTTTAAGACAATGAAGTTTTAGGATGAAAAATGCAACGTGGCACTTTAATTTATGCGGAACACTAAAGCACAGCATACTGTATTTGTTTTACATTTTATCTAACCTTAGATATGAATTTTCTTCTAGATAACTTTGAAATTAATTTGAAAGATCAATTCCCTTTAGAAAAATGGGTGAAAAGTTCCTGACTGAACAAGAAAGCCGTTTATTTAATTAAGCAGCTTTAACTGAGAATGAGAAGTATGACAGAAACAATTTGTACATTTAAAAAGATACTAGATGGTAGTTGGGATGTTTCAAAAGGACATTCCCTTAAATTGGCTATCCTATAGCCAATGAAAGAAAATTTTCCATTCTTCTATTCAGTGTCACAAGACTATTTACATTAAATAAAGGCCACAAAGCATCAGTCATGGAGAGCTTGATGCTACATTTCCTGTAAAAGCTTGGTAGCCTTAATGAGCTTAGATGCAGAACGAAAACAAGTATCAACTGGAGATCGAGTTAGTAGCAAGGAGTGACATCTGAGAATGGCGGAACAAAGAAAACTCTGTGCCCAAAGTGCATGTCCTCATTCTTTTGGTACTTAGGGTGAGATCTTTACCCACCCAACAGGCCTGACACCTAGATTGGATCATTTCAATTTATGTGGATACTCCTTCCTAGGTTTTCATTACGAATTGGGATTTAAAACCGTTAATTAGGAAACTCACTTTGGTAAAACGTCTAAAACCAGGTGACATTAAACCATGCAGTAATTGGTTGATTGCCTTAAACCATAACAATTCAAGACTAAACCCCACGTGATTAATTCCCACAATCTGTTGTGATTAGACTGTAACAGATCCTCTACCCAACTTTGAACAACAAAAAAAAGTAAGACATTTTCTACAAACTGCATCATTTTAAATCCATTACATTTTTAGGGGAATTTTAAGAATAAAAAAAACCAGCGTTAACAAAGCCTGCATAATCCAATCTAAGAATTTTCTCATCAACCTACCTAAGTTGTGAGGATGCTGAGGTAGCATATTATGAAGCATTTTGAGCTCTCATTAGGAAAAGAGCCAAAAAAAAAAAAAAAAAATCAAGTGGCTATGTTTCCATTTTATTAGTTTTTCATTAGATGGGGTCATGTACATGACAAGTTATTTTAATGATATCACAAAATAGGCTACTAAAACAATGTAATGCTTGTAACATGACTACATGATGTTAAGAATCACTAATTTTTAGAGCAGAAAAGAATACTCCAAAAATAGGACCTGACTTTATAAAGTGGTTCTGGCTTATACTGTCATTGAGACTTATCATATACTGTATTCTATACTAATCTGTAGCACTGAGTTCCTGTTAGGGTTACACATTTGACCTAGTAAATTGCATTAATATGCAGTTTTTTTAAAAACTCCATTTTCAATATTTAAGTCTATTAGAGTTTAAAAAGCTTAAGACAACAAAAGCCATGTAAAGCACCTAAAAAGTACTTAAGTATGCTATAATGTTGCTACAAAAAGGGCCTTTAAGCAGCAAGGAGCATCAATATAATTCACAGCTCTGAGTCCTTCCGTGATTTAGAGCAAACAGTATTTTCCATGGGCTGGTTATTTGTTGATAATACACCACCAAAACATTAAGCCAAAGTTTATAAATTTAGGACAAAAGACAAACTCTAATACAGGAACTCTTATCCAGATTGTCATGGATAGACTTGGAAGGGAAGGTACCCAAAAGGTCCCTGAAACTATATCCTGAAATCTAGGGAAAGAATCCATAGTTTCATATCCTCAAATAGTTTTTCATCCCTTAAAGAACAACTTTTCTAAGAGAGACAAGGAAAAGCTTCTGAAGAGAACTTTTAGTTTGATGCTACAGCCACAGGAACACAACTTAAGATCTCAATCACATAAGGGTCCCCCCACCCCAGGTCCCTTCTTCTAACTTACTTTTTGCTACGTTCTTCATGGCCGTTAGCACTGCTCAACTTGTTCTCATCCTAAGCAGGGTTGATAGAAGAACATCATGAGGACGAAGTGGTAACATTTCAAGTTGTCAAAGGGTAAAGGGAATAGGAATAAGAAAATACAAAACAATTTTAAAACTAATTACTTGTTTATAGTTTAACATGGAAGGCTATAAAAAAATTTAGATGGGTATGTGTTTAACCACTTTGTTGCTTACAATTAAGTCATCAAGATACAAAAATAAAAATGCATATTAACATGTTAAATTTTACTTTCTTATATAGTTAGATATTAAGTTATCCAGATTTACAGTGTTGAAGTGGTTAAATAGAATTTCTATAAAACATGAATGAAGTCCTGTTTTGAGTTTTATTCCATGTGCTATGGTCCCTTTGGTCAGTACCATGGCTCTATTTCTGCCTAAGCCCCAAGTGGCCATGCTAGCAGCCAGCCACTATCGATTTCCTGTGACCGATGCCATTCCTGAGATCTTCGCCCATTTCCGTTGGAGGGTTGGGACTGTAAGAGCTTGATGCCACCTCTGTCACACATCTCGCCCTGAAGCAAACAGGGATTCACACTGCTTTAGTAATGTTGACTCCCAAGAACCCAAGAAAGTCAATTAATAATCCACCAGTCCAGCCTAAACATTTCCTACTTCCATACCTGTTTACATGGAATTACATCCATGTTAAACTAAGACACAAGAATCTTAACATTAAAACAGAAAGTAGTTCTTCAAGAGTCTAAGCATTATAAAACTACACACACTATTTAAACTAAAAAGAATTCTTCCAAATTGGTACCACATGGTCGTGCTATACTCTCCAAAAACAGATGTATTATTTCAAAAGGTTTAGTGCAATGTTTATTTTTAAAGTTTGATCACATCAGTTATAGAAGTATAAGTGCTAACTCACAAAGCTTACAGTTTGCGACACCAGTGATAATGCATGCATACTGCTATTTTCACCACCAACTGGTGAAAGAATGAAAAGACACTTTACTTTTACTGTGATACTGAAATGGGTCAGACTATACTACTAGCCAAAATAATTCCTTTGTAGCTTTTAGTGTGAAATATTATGGCAGGGACTAATTAAAAATAAAACAACACGGAGCACAGTAAAACAGTCATCAAGTGACTCTAAGTTGTGATACTGCCTCCTTTGCTTTAAAAAAATTTTCAGGGATCCAAGAATTTCAGTAGTTTTTAACTGAGCAGATCATCACCTGCCTGTTTCATTATTTACTATCACCAGTCATATATATATATAGAAAAAATTTTTAAATCTCACCCATTTCTTGTAAAACTTAAAGATTTGCTTGCCACAGACTGGTTATGCTTTGTTATTCTTGGACCCCTGCTATTTTCCCAAACCACTACATTCACCTTTTTGCTATACCAAACTGGAGCTGGTAATTCTTAGTTGAGTCATTTTACCTAGGGGACCACGGTACAGCGATAAGTCACTCAATTACTACCTTATGATTGACAGTTCACACTGGAATCAAAGGTGAATTCATGGGAGTAGAGGTGAGATATCGTTAGGCAAGTCTACAAAGAGAGATAGATGGGCATTTATTCATCACGCTGAAGTGAAACTACTGCACAATATTATTACATCAATAGCATATATTTACTTTTGTAAGTTACACGTAATGCATCTCTGATAAGATAAATCAAGAGGGCTCCGGGGAGGTTAGTTTACATTTCAGCAGTAGTTTCGTGATAATGCTAAATTAAGAAAAATATAAACCTCACCGACATGTTTTTTCTCACCTTCTTGTAAGGAGCCTCAAGCATTGCTTCAATATCAATATCGTCTGCCATTCTCTCTAAACGTCTAAAAAATAAGAAAAGTAATTCAGTGAGTAAACATTTTTCAATTTCGATCAGTCTCCTCCTTACTCGACAAACTCCGAAACTTCAGAAAAACCTTCAAAAAGCCCTGGAATGACTAAAGTGGCAGGATGCACTTTACCAGGCTTAGTAATTAAATTTGAAATGTCTCCAAGACTAAACACACGGAAATACATTAAATGTACGATTAAAAAAAAAAAGCCCACAATTAACTGCAAAAACAGAACCCGCGCGCAATGAGTAAGAGCGCCTCTTTTCGCGCAAAACCCGCGCTGCCATTTTAGCGGCAAAGGGAAACTCCCTCGGTTGGGAGGGGTTGTGTGCCATGGTAGCATTCGGCTGGCGCCATGTTGGGAGGTCGCGGCCGGCCAGGCCTGGAAGGAACGGGTCGCCATCCGCCCGAAGCCTCTCTGGAGTCCCTGCTACCCAAGAACCCTGAAATCTACACCACCGGAAAATAAGGGCGCGGTCGCTGAAATGGAGCCGATTTCTCGAGCCCCCCCCCCCCCGAGTCGTTAAAGACCGCCTAAGGAGTGCCCCTCAAACCAGACCTCTGAAAAGCTCTCACAATGCACAGGCCTGCGACATCTCCTTACCTGTGCGGGCTTTCGGGCCCCTGGGGTGCTTGTATTCGGAAAGAGGGGGGCTGCTGCTGCTGCCGCTGTTGCTACTGTTAAGCCGCTAGGCCCAGGCCGAGGTTCCGCCCAGCCCGAATTTCGGGCTCCGAGGGCGGATAGGCCCGAGCGAATCTAAAAGAAACAATGGGATTAGAGGAGCCCGCGCGGAAGTTCAGGACGGCGGCTTCGGCAGCTCAGGATCCACCCCTGCGACAGCTTCAGCAAGCTCTCTGAAATGGCGGCCGCTGCTTCCCCGTACTCACATCCACCAACACACATACACACACACAAACACACGGGGCCTCACAGAGCTCTCAGCACGGGCTCTCGCGAGAAGCTGCCTCTAGTTCCAGACAGGAGCAGCTGAAATATCGCGAGATATAAGCATGGCCCCAGCGACCATGGCCCAATCTCGCGCAATGATTGCGCCACAGATATTCCCATCCCCCACTCAGAGCGGAGCCTTTGACACCCTCTCCACATAGACGTCCGTATCTCGCGAGACCACGCAAGACGCTAGAGCAAAGACAGTTGGTACACTTCCTGTCAATCTTTTTAAAAACTGAACGCTGAGTGGAGCTCGGTGGTCGCCTCCTCCTTGTGGCACCTCCTCACAGCTATCTGAAGGTTTCTCTCCCAGAGCTGACCGCCTTTCCCCTCCCCCGGGCCTCCCATACTGGTGTCTGTCAAGGTCGCCATAAGGGAACGTACTCCATATGGCGATAGAATACAACGAAAACCGTCAGGTATAGATTATCCCCCAAGAGTGAAGAAGTGAAAAGCATGTAAAAGAGAAGGCAAAAGGAGACCGTACGGGGTTAGGAGGCTATGGGTATAGAATAAAAATTAGATATTCCGGCCTTTTGGAGCCAGTGGACTAGGCACGACTAACTAAAGACCCTTGGAAATAGTGGAGAAAAGCAAAGAGAAGGTGAAAAAACAAACTGCTTCCCTTGGCAATGGATCAGCTTTATGCCCTGGATTTTACAGTCTGGCCTTGTGTCGGATTGCTATTGTTTCTTCAAAAAAATGTCCCCCATTCCCTTGGGACTTGGCTTCTTGCCCTTTAAGTTTCCCAAATACCTTGCAGTTAAGAGTATAAAAGTACCACCTGTTCTCTGGTCAACACTGAAAAAGAAGAGGCGGCAGAGAGGTTGTGGACTATAAGGCTTTTTCCTCCAAGATAAAAATACTTGAAAAAAATATTTGAAAAACATCAGAGGACTTACAACCAAAAAATCTCATAGATAAGTCTATTAACAGCTTAGGGATTGAGGGTTAAGATTTGACATGAGATAATTTGGTTCTTGTAAGCTGCTCCAACACTGTGTGACCTTGGACAAGTAAATTAATCTCTCAGAGCCTATCCTCCATTTCCTCTTATGAAGAAGGGGGTAGCATAATTACTAGGCTAAGCTTCTTGAGATTGACCTAGGCTGATAATGTTCAGGTTGATAATGCTCACTACTGAATTCTCAGTGCTTAGCCTGGTGCCCAGCCAGGAGGACACTCAATAAATGAATGAAGACCTAATAGGCGTATAGTGAGGATTAAATGAGATAGTGTCTGTATAGTACCTGGCAAATATTTAATCCTCAGAAAAGTTAACTTCTGTTATTGCTAAACAATTATTTGAGGAAATGTAAGTGTACAGGGACTTCACACTCCTGGTTAATATTCCACACAGGTGTTTCTCTTAGAGGATTAATAGATGTTACATAGTAATATTCCCTTACTCCTTTTCCTGAAAATTCAGATCCTCTTTCAAATTTTTTAAGTATTGAAAATCATTACAGAACATTAAAGCATAATATGCTCAAGCTAACAAAAAAAGCTAACCTTTGCCTTCTCTTTGCCCCTTTAATTCTTTTATTGTGACTTGTTAATTGTGCAAATATCAAACCAAAAACGTGGTCGCTTAATAATTTTTTTGTTTGGGAACATGACAACACAATTTGTCTTTAATCTCTAGACTTATTTGGGAATAGGAAAGTTTTAAGCTTTCAGTCACTTGATTACTGAATATCTCTTAAATTGTTTTCTGTTCAAGGATGATCAGAGTGAACCTGGAAATTTAGAGCACGATCAAGAAACACCAGCTGGAAAACTCTTCTCTAAAACAAAAGTATTTTTTATGTTTAAAAGAAAATATTAACATAATATGTTTTTCTTTTTTTTTTAAAGATTTATTTATTTATTTATTTATTTATTTATTTATTTATTTATTTATTTGACAGAGAGAGACAGCTAGAGAGGGAACACAAGCAGGGGGAGTGGGAGAGGGAGAAGCAGGCTCCCTGCTGATCAGCGAGCCTGACGCGGAGCTCGATCCCAGGACTCTGGGATCATGACCTGAGCCGAAGGCAGACACTTAAAGACTGAGCCACCCAGGTGCGCTTAACTGTCTGAGCCACCCAGGCGCCCCAACATAATAGGTTTTTCATTCATTTTGCAAAGCCCGTCTCTGTCTGGCTTATGGACATTCTGTGTAAATTAATTCCCCTTTCATCGTTTTGTTCTCATTTGAACCAGAACATCATTGGTTTAAATCATCTCCACCATCAAAAACATTATTCCGTTATCTATAAGTTTTATAACTTATAGAGAAGAGGTCACAGAATAGCCAAAAGCCTGGAATAGAGGAGGTAATAGAGAATTTGACTTTAAATTTAAAATATTTTGCCAATGTCAGGACACCTGGCTGGCTCAGTCTGTGGAGCATGCAACTCTTCATTTCAGAGTCGTGAGTTCGAGCCCCATGTTGCATGTAGAGATTACTTAAAATATTAAAAATACGTTCTGCCAATGTTTTTTGATATCAATGTATGACTTTTATGGGCAGAGAGTGCTATTTTTGATGCTTGCATTTTTTTTAAATTAAGTAGTTTCCACACCCAGCATGGACCCCAATGCAGGGCTTGAACTCAACAACCCTCAGATCGAGATCTGAGCTGAGACCAGGTCAGATCCTTAACTGACTGAGCCACACATGCGCCCCTGCATTTTTTTAAACAAATGTCTATTTTATTTTTTAAAAAAGATTTTATCTATTTATTTGACAGAAAGAGAACACAAGTATGCAGAGCAGCAGGCAGAGGGAGAGGGAGAAGTAGGCTCCCCACTGAGCAGAGAGCCTGAGCAGGGCTCCATCCCAGGACCCTGGGATCATGACCTGAACCAAAGGCAGACATTTAACCAACTGAACCACCCCGGCGCCTGCATTTTTTTTAAGTAGGCTCTACACCCAGCATAAGGCTTGAACTCATGACCCCAAGATCAAGAGTTCAATGCTCTACAGACTGAGGCAGCCAGATGTCCTTTGATACTTGCATTTTAAAAATTAATATTCAATTTATAAAGTAAGTGCATTTTAGAGGCGCCGGGGGGCTCAGATGGTTAAGCGTCTGCCTTCGGCTCAAGTCATGATCCCCGGGTCCTGGGATCAAGCCCCACATTGGGCTCCCTGCTCAGCTTCTCCCTCTCCCTCTGCCTGCTGCTTCCCCTGCTTGTACACACTCTCTCTCTCTCCATCAAAAATAAATAAAACCTTTAAAAAAAAAAGGGCATTTTAATAGTTATCTTTAAAACTTAAAGACTCACAATTTTAAAATTGTATTTATGAAGCAAAAATTCTAAAATCACCTTCACTTAATCCATTCAAGTTGAGCACGGGACATCAGGCTCCTTGCTCGGTGGGGAGTCTGCTTCTCCCTCTGCCTGCTGCTGCTTGTGCTCTCTCTTTCTCTGTCTCTGACAAATAAATAAAATCTTTAAAAAAATAAATAAAATGTATGTTCATTGGCTCCCTTGGTTTTTTTGTTTGTCTTTTTTAAGATTTTGTTTATTTATTTGACAGAGAGACACAGCGAGAGAGGGAACACAAGCAGGGGGAGCGGGAGAGAGAGAAGCAGGCTTCCCACAGAGCAGGGAGCCCAATGTGGGGCTCGATCCCAGGACCCTGGGATCATGACCTGAGCGGAAGGCAGACACTTAACGACTGAGCCACCCAGGCGCCCCTTTTATCATTTTTTTTGTCATTTTTTTTATGTCAGTTCTACACCCAACATGGGGCTTAAACTCACCATCCCAAGATCAAGAGTTGCACACTCTACTGACTGAGCCATCCAGGCGCCCCCTTTAATCATTTTAACATGTTGTATTATTTTTGAGCACTTTAACTTTCCCAAGTATGTAAACAATTCTTCTAAATCTGAGATATTAAAATTATAGAGGGGTGCCTGCTGGCTCAGTTAGTAGAGCATGTGAATCTTGGTCTTAAGAGTTGTAGGTTCAGTCCCATGTTGGGTATAGAGATTACTTAAAAAAAATTTTTTTTTAAGAGATGGAGGAGGGGGTGGAGGAGCAGAGGGAGAAGGAGAGAGAGAGAATCTCAAGCAGGCTCCATGCCCAGTGCAGAGCCCAATGTGAGGCTCAGTCTCACAGCCCTAAGATCATGACCTAAGCCAAAATCAAGAGTCAGATGCTCAGCTGACTGAGCCACTGAGGCACCCTAAAAATAAAATCTTAAAAAAAAAAAATCACAAATATAGTTAGTCTTAAAATTTCTTAAAATTTTCTGGGCGCCTGGGTGGCTCAGTTGGTTAAGCGACTGCCTTCGGCTCAGGTCATGATCCTGGAGT